AAAAGTGTAACTGTTGAAGGAGAGGGGTTAGCAGAATGTTGAGGAGTTAAGAACAAGGGAAGTGGCACTTTAAGGATTAATAGAATTCCTAAACATGGTGGTCAGGGAAAGGAAGTGCTAGGTTGCATAAATGTTGTTGAGCAGAAAGAACACTTCAGCAGGGATGTTGGAATGTGCATGAATGTAAGGCTGAACATCATGGGGTGACACTGTGGGAGACGGTTGGGTACAGGACAAAGGACTGAAATATCCCTCTATATGATGCATTTATGGTTTCGTTCAATAGGGGGACTAAAGATCTCTGTGTGTGAAAGTAATAGAACCAGCTGTCTTTATCATTAGATCCAGCTGTCAGTCACTGGAAAAGGAACTATAAGAAGAGAAGCCATGGTGAACCATCAGGATTTAGCAGAGACCTGGGATATTGCCAACCTTGGGATGCGGAGAAGTGATACAGCAAAACCGCACCAGATTTCATCATGCAATTTGTAACAATACTCTATTTAAAACTTGTGAATTATTTCTTGAGTTTCCATTTAGTATTTTGGAGCTCCTTTGTATCTAGGGAATTCATTTTACGACTACTGGTAGGCTGAGAACCACAAAGTGGTCAGTAGTTAACTGAACACATGAAAGTACAAATCCTGTGAAAACTATTTTGTCTCGTACACACATTCCTATTATAAGGTTTAATTTATAAAGTAGGTGTAGCAAAGCTTTATCGGTCATATCTCATAAGAAAATAGAAAAATTACAATAATATACTGTAATAAAAACTGAGGGTCAGAATAATAAACTTCCTTCAGAACTAGGGAGGCAAGCTCTCTATGGTCCTTGCCTGGCTCTGGCTCTGGGTCCCCATCCTCCCTCGTGGTGACCATTAGGATCGCTCTAGTAACCCCTCAAAACAAACAAACAAATATACAAACAAACAAAAGTCTAGAATCAACAGACAACAACATGGAAAGCTTAGAATCAGACAGGAAACGGCCAGTGTGGACCCAAACATGCCTCACTAGGTGAGACACAAAGATTAGTTACGCCTCACTGGGATATGGGGGATTTCTCTGCACACCCATCCTAAAAAAAATGTACTGTACCTAAACTGATAACTGTATGGAATCAGGTTGAATATAAACCAAAATTGAAATGTCTAAGAAGAAGTCACAGAATGTAGTTAAGCAACCGCATTTTCCTATCAACATACTATTAATCAATACCATGTCAATTAATGCCATAAGGTTGTAAATGGCTGTTGATGTTATGTCGGGGCCTTTAATTGATTGGGATGATACTTTGCTGGCTTTACTTTCAGACCAGAGATGGTCTCACCAAGAAATCATTGAACCCACTAGGATAATAAGACACTGGACTTTATGCTTGGTAAATATTTCCAATGAAAGAACCACAACTGAATTTGAACTGTGATAACGCAGCAAGGTGGAGAAATCCACCATGGGGAGAAGGTTTGGGGAAGGGTGGGGGGAATCCCAGTACTCATAACACTGTGTCACATAATGCAATGCAATTGATAAAATAAATAAATTTAAAAAAACTGAGGGTTGGTTGGCATCCGGACACAGGTTAAGTGGCCACTTGTAATGGCAGTATCTCAAATAAGAGCACCAGTTCAAATTCTAGTTGCTTCTGATCCAACTTCTACTAATGCCCCTGGGAAGGCAGGAGATGATGGTGCAAATCAAAGACCCTCTGCTATCTATTGCCTGAGACCCAGATAGAGATCACGGCTCCTGTCTTTGGCCTGACCCAGCCCTAGATGTTATATCTGGGTTTGTACTTAGGGAAGAAAGATTATTTTCTCCACTTCTTCTTCTCTGTCTCCATCTATGTTTCACCTCTTTATTGTGCTGCCTTTCAAATAGATGAATGAATAATTTTAAGTGGTATGAATGTAGTTTGTCTAACTCTCACCACAACGCTCATGCAGGAGGCACACACACGCGCGCACACACACACACTGCATGGATATTCTGGACCATGGATGATTCACATCCCTACTGGCACTGTGTGGGATTTCATCATGTTGTTCACAACAGCAATTTAGAATTTATGAATTGCTCACTTCTGGATGTGTGCGTCAATTTTCTCAGACCACAGTTGCCTGTGTGTGGTCATTGAGACTGCAATGGTGCAGCTTTAGTAAGGGAGTTGGAGTGCACAGAAGCACAAATTAAGCACCTTAAACTACTGAAAGTTCAATTGTCTCACAGTTTTGAAGGCTGGGAGTCCATTGTCAAGGCATCACAGCGTTGGTTCCTTTCAAATCTGTCAGAGAAAGATCTGTTCCAGGCCTTTCTCCTAGCTTCAGCAGGCTTTCTGGCAACTTCTGGCTTTATGAGCTATAGAAATATCCCCTACATTCTGCTTTCATTTATGTATGCCATTTTCTTTGTTTGAAAGACACAAATCAAATTGAATTAGGAGTCTTCCCTAACCATGCTACTATGGCCTCCTTTGAACTCAGTACTCCAGCAATAACCCTACAGAATCAGTCTGAGGTGTTTGGGGCTAGGGCTTCAACCTGTGAGTTTTGGGGGAAATCACAGTTCAACCTATAATATTTTCCATGAAGATATAGGAGAGATTTTGTGAGATAAGAGGTCTAGAGTCAGGGAAAAAATCAACCAAGTATTTTGTTTGTTCATTTTAACACTTAATTGTTTGTTTGAAAGGCAGAGTTAGGAGAGAGAGAGATATCTTCCTTCCTCTGGTTCACTCCCCAAATGGCCACCACCAGGAGGGAGGAGCCAGGAGTTTTTATCCAGGCCTCCCAACTGGCTTACAGGGGCCCACGAACTTGGGCTATTTTGTGTGTGTGTGCTTTCCCAGGCACATAAACAGAGGCTTGGATCAAAAGTAGAGCAACCAACACTCAAACTGGTGTAACAGATGATGGCTTAACGTGCTCTGCTATACCACAATATGAACTCCAGCCAATTTTGAGTATGTGAAGTTTGAGGTGCGCGTTGGATATCCAAGATGCTAAATAGGTCTGCAATGCCAGAGAAGGACCTGGGTTAGAGAGAAACTTCAGGGAGTCCCTGGTGTATTGATGCCATTTGAAGCCAGACACTGAATGAGATCACTGAGAAACAAACTGGATTGAAAAAAGGGGAGAGTTCCAGAGACTGAAGCTAAGAAGCCATTAAGCACTGGGACCAACACCAAGCCCACAGAAAGATCTCATGTATGCTTGTAGTTGTGAAAAACCAATTACATATTCCTGACAGTTTTCAGTTATATCCTAAATATTTACAAAAATCATCAGATTCATCCATGAAGTGAAGGATGAGTGAGACAGAATATGGATTGAGTTTTACTGGCTTGTATGTTGAAGAAGTTATTGGTGCTGAAATGGAATGTTTTGAATGCCGTAAAGAAGTCAAAGGACACTAATAAAAATAATGAAGAGCTCATTTCTCAGAGGGAGAAACATCTTGGGAGAATATTGTTGCAGCCCTTGATTTAAGAAGTCATTTTCTTAAAAGTCAGTCATGCTGCCGTGCCCCGAGCAGCCAAACTGTAGGTTCCTTCATATGTACTTGTTTTGAGTATAGTGCCAAAATCAAATACGGTTTTTTGTTTTTGTTTTTTATCGGTGTCATATCATTGTGTTTGGGTTTATGTATAAAACTGAGGATTCATCACCCTGATATAACCACTTGGGGCTTTGGGGCTATTTTCTTGGGTGTCCTGGCCACATGCCTGCTGTTTCATGAGACGACAAAGGCTTTGACAGCAAGGTCATGGCCATGACATCTAGCATCTCTACCCAGAGTCCTCTACATGTGGGGAGCTTGCATTTCTCGGACCCATTGCACAGTCTGCTTTTCTCCTTTCCCTTCGTTGCGCTGTGCTGTTGGTGTGGGGCCAGTGTTTTCTTACTCCTGCTTTCCTGCCCTTCCCAGAATGAAAGGCTTAACTTGCCAGGTCCCCACATTCCCCTACACCATAGCCCTTACCATAAACATCTGTCTAATTATGAGGGCAGAGACCACGTTCTTTAATGTTTTTTTCCTCAGAAGTTCACACAGGATCCATGTGTGTTAACACACAGTAGATGCTCATAGGTTATGAATGGAAAACATCATCTTTTGTGCCCACTCAGTATAATCTAAACTGTCACTGGATTCTACTTTATTAGAAATAAAACATCTTTTTTCTCAGAGCATACTGGTAGACAATGCAGGGAAAAAAATTTTTGAGATGTTTCCTTTAAAAAATAAATTTCAGATTATCCTTTAAAGCATTACGCTCATTCCTAGAAGTTGTCGTGCAGAGCCCTCAGTTTCTTGCCAAAAAATATACCTGATGTGATCACTGTATATGTCTCTGAGCCTCAGTATTGACCATACGCCTTTATAATAGTAAGAAAAAATGAAGTAACCCAACCATAATTGTATAAGGGAATATAAAAACAAGCATGTAGAAGCTTGGAGGGGTAAAATGGCAGACAGTCAAGGCAGCTCATTTTTTTTTTCATTTCTTTTTGGTCAGTGGACTGTTTTAGAAAGGCCAATTTTCTTTAAGCATGGTGTAATTGAGATTTATAATCTGAGTCTGACTAAGGGACGTTGAGAAGTGTTGTAATAGATCTTTGATGCCAAAAAAAAAAAAAAAAATAGGAAGTAGTTCCACGATGCCTTGGTTCAAGAATTTTCTCCTCCCTGTTTAGAATGCAAATCATGTGGGTTGGCTTTTTATTTGTTTGTTTGATATTTTGATAAGTTTTCTCCAAAAGAGGAGACATAGGGGAAAGTTTGAAATGTGGTTGTTTCTTCCTTCCCAGTCCAACATGCTTGAGAGCAGTATTGCCGTAGCAGTTTTACCGTCCGTTTCTGAAGACCTGTCAGCTGTGACCTCTACGTTCTGGGTTCGTTTATGGAGCCGTGATGACAGGAACATGTTGCACTAAGCTCTACAGCGTATGAAATGTGCCATTACTGTGTAGTTACTGAAATCTTAATTTCTTTCCCCAGCTCTACTTTACGAAGCGTTTCTACTGGATCCTCGAGACCTTCCAAAATCTGTTTGGTGTGTGGGGATGAGGCGTCAGGATGTCACTATGGGGTGGTCACCTGTGGCAGCTGCAAAGTTTTCTTCAAAAGAGCAGTGGAAGGTAAATGTCCATGTGGGCGTTCCTTTGAAACATTTCTTCCCTTCTTTCCCTTTTTTTTTTTTTTTTTTTTTTTGCTAATGGGTAGTTCACACAGTTAATGCTACTGTGTGGTGTGTGGTTGGGAAATTCCCCAGCAATATATTTGATATAATCTCTTAGTGATAAGTTGTAATCATGCCTTATCGTGTAAGTATGTGGTGGTTTTCCACTAGACAACATTGAATATGCAAAATTCAAAATTGTGAGCAGAAATGACCCCAGGAGGGACTTGTTTTTGCCATGTCTGTTTTTAAGTGAAATTTCAAAAAATAATTGTTTTGCCAATTTAACTTGCATGAGTTAGAATAGCATTTTTATTAGTACAAGTCTGCCCTTTTTTGGTGTTTGTGATTGGAGGTTTTTGGCAATTGAAAAATGTTAATATTGAAATCAGTCTTCTGCTTTGAGTGTGCTCTCAGCAGAGACTTCAAATTCCCAGTCTCTGTGTCCTAACTTTACTCTTGCCAAAAGCTTCAAGATTCATATATTAAACAAAAACAATGGACTGACATTTACTTTGTCTATTTAGGCCAGTTTTTGCCTCTGTCCACATAATTACCTCTTTTGGAGAAGTAGTTTTTCACTTTTTCTGTTCTTCACTTGTAAGCAATTCATTGACCCCAGACACAGGCCAGATGTGTCACATCCCACTGGAGCTATTTTCCAAATCAGCCCTTTTCTACTCCATTTTTCTTAACATACATTTTTTTGGTTATTTATTTGAGAGATACAGAGAGCTGCCATCTGGTTAGTTCAGTCCCCCAAAGTCCCCAACAGCCAGGTCAGAGTCTGTTCCTAGTCAGAAGCCAGGAACTATTCGATTTGGTTCTCATAGGTGAGTACTTGAGCCATCTTCTGCCTTCCAGGATACACATCAGCAGGATACTAGAATAGGGAATGAAGCGGGGCTCAAATCCAAGCATATCCCACGGGATGTGAGCATCCCAACTAGTAACCTAGTCAATAGACCAAATAGCCACTCCTGCCTTTCTCTGCTTCTGAAAGCAAAAGACTTCCCCAAAGTTGTGCCTTAGCTTTTCTTGCTTTAAATAGTCTCTATGGAAGTGCTTGAGAAAAGAATTGTTTTGTAACTTGGTATAACTAAATATGAAAAGCCTAAATGTGGATGCATGTAAGTCCCTTCATTGAAAAGCCATCGATCATTTGATGAATGCTTTTGAAGGCCTTTATTGAATCATTTGTTCCCTATGCATTTAGGCATGTCTTTTAGTGTTCACCTGTACGATACAAGGTTTGAACAAGTTGAAAATATTAACTCTTTGAGAGTAAAATACCTTTTTTCTTTGTATTTTCATATTTTGTATCTACTGTAAATGGGAATGTATATATATATATGAAAAATGTATAGCTATGGGAGAAATGTAGCTATTAAATTAATAGGACAGCATTTTTATAACACCATACATACTTTGAGTAGTCACATCACAAAATTATGGGATATGAGTATTATTTTTATTCCCATTTCCCAAATGAAGCTATGTAGAATCAAACTTAGGTCCATACCAAAGCCTTATGATTCAAAAGCTAGAACCTAGTGAAATCTCAGTGTTAAACTTCTTTTGTGTCTGTTTTGTGATATAAGTTGTAAAGTCCATGAAGGTCCTACCTTTATATGTTGGTCTACTTATGCTTACTTGGTCAAAGTAAAGGAAGTAACCCCAGCATTGAAGAGATATCATTTGTTATCTTTAGCAAGTATGTACATGATTGCATAAATTTGGATATAGGCATTTGTGCATATATATTCATACTTGCACAAAATTTTGTTTGATCAAAATGCACTGACTTTTCATTCTAGTTCCCCATGAATATCTTGAAGTCCCCTCCTGGGCTGATTTGAATTTTTATTGCTTATTGTTTTGTTAATTTCCTTTTATACTCTGAAGGTCTGTCTTCAGTTGTAAAAGAAGAGAGTAGGAGGCCCCACTGCAGAGAAGTAAGATAATGAGAGTCAGGTCAAGCTGAAAGACCAGGCCAGCCATGAGCACAGGTATAGAGCTGACCACTAGAGAGCAGAAGGGAAGGGAAGCCGGGCAGCCGGAGCAGTGAGGCTGCTGTCTGCAGGCTTTGTGCTATGGAGGAAGGCCCCTAACACCTGCTGGGCTGTGATAGCATAGCTGCAACTGTGCATGGAAACTAGAAGTTATTTTTATAGTGTAAATTACATGCTTTGTGCTCTGTTTAATGAAATGTGTATATTTTTATTTATATATTTATTTCTTTTCATTCTTCTTAAACATTTACAATAAAACACTTAGAATGCTCTCCAAGAATGCCTTATCAGCCAGTAATGTCAGTGAATAGCCATTTTATTGTTCCATGACAATGGAATATTATGATTTTATTTTAAAATTTAACTCACTCATTTTCCCTGAAGAATTTAGGGACCTTTCTGTCTTAAAAAAAAAAAAAAAAAAAAGAAAAAAAAAAAGAATGTTGGTGAGGGAAAGGGTAGGTGAGGAATAGTGAAGCTTTTTCTTATCATAAAGTTTTTTTAAAAAGTCTAAGTTGTGGAAATTAGACTGAACTGAAAATCAGAAAGCTTTGTTTTACTTTCCAAAACTAAAGCTTTTAAAAACTTCTGGATTTGATCCTGTTTGTCAGTGAAAGGGAAAAGTATTATCATCATACTTGAATATTACTATAAAGATTACACGAAAATAACGTGAGATTTTATAAGTTGGCAGGAGATATCAATACATTGGGTTGTGTTTTACTCTCTTAGAACAAATGCAGAAATTCCCTGACTAGGTCTCTGCAAAGAGATCGTGTAAATGATATATTGCTCTGGGTCTTCCCTCTTGGGCTCTCATTTTCCTGACACGTATGTCATTTTATCCCTGTGGCTACCTTTTAAGGTGATAAAATCCTTCTGGACTAACCGTTCTAAAGTGTGTATGGAAAGCAGATGGAGGGAAAGGCTGTGAAAATTGCCTGGAGATGATGCTTCCAGTGTGGATGGATTCTTTGAAACTTCCTTTCATAGTGAGCCATTGGGAGTTGAACAATTGAGATAATAATGAAAGCCACTCACTGGACTTTTCATTTGTATTAGAAGTCTATTAGAAAAAGACAAGGTCTTCTCTCCAAAACCTAGCAAGGCTGCAGATTCTTGGTATACACTGAATAAAAACTTGCATGACCCTGACGTGAATTAAGAGCAGTTAAGGTGGAATGGCTTCCCCAGTTCAATAAGGTATCAGATGGACCTACCTAGCTCAAGAATTTGTATAGGCATTTCAGCTCTAGTCTATAATTTCTAATTCTCACCTGAGTCATCATTTTCTCAGTCTCTTTCCAACTAGAATGCCATTAGTTTCATCTCATCTGTATATTTTACTTGATGATGTCTCAGTGAACAGCGTTGAATGAATTCGGCCCATGCTATTTTATAACCTAATTTTCTTTGTGGATACTCAGTTTATAAGCAGTGTTTGAAAAACAGGGCTCACACAAATCACTGACTGTGTATAAGGCTGCAAAAGAGCAGGAGAGTTCATTAGCATGTTAAGTCACCTAGACTTCTATTTTGGAAAGCCAACTCTTTAGGCTGGTGAGTCCCCACCCTGGTAAAGTCAGGCAGCTCCTATGTCAGTCTCCACAATTATATGTTGCCATGGAAGGAAGACACTTCAAAGCCTATTTCTTAAGATGTTTTAAAGACATAATTGTGGATCAATCTTGGGTTCTTTCAAATATGCAATATTTTAAGGCAAGCAAGCCTGTGAACATGTACCTCATTCCTTCTACATGTAGGCCACAACACACAAGTCAGAGATGTGTAAATGCATTGCTTATTGTTTTTTCTCCAGATACTTTAAGGAAATGTAATGATTCATGGATAGTTCATTGTCTTTGCTTCCCTGAAATTCCTGAGTAAGCTGAACGGGTCTAGAGGAAGCAGTGTCCCACTGTATCATAAACTCATGTTGTCCCATTAAGTGCAGCATGTGTGCATACTTCTGAGCTAGAAGGAAGAGTAAGCAAATGTGTGAGCACCTGAGAGATGTGTGTGTTGGGAGAAAGGGAGATGGCTAAGTGTGAGTAGAAATGGAGAAATCTGGGGCAGGCATTTGTCACAGCCATTAGAATGCCATTTGCAATGTCCACATCCCGTATCCTAGTGCCCACGTTCAAGTCCAAGTTCCACTCTGATTCCAACTTCTTGCTGATACACATCCTAGGAGGCAGCAGCTGTTAGCTCAAGCACTGGCTCCCTACCACCTATATAGAAGACCCAAATTGAATTCTATACTCTTGGCTTTAGCCTAGCTCAACTCCACTGTTGTGGACATTTGGGAAGTGAATCAGTAAATTGGAGGTTGGTCAGTCATTCTGTCTCTCTTTCTCTCCCTCCAATTTAGTGGATACAGGCTTAATCACAGTAAGATTATATAATAATTCAAATATAGCTGTCTCCTTTAGCTGGAAATATAGAATTAAGCAAATCATGTGTTATATATAAATTATATGCATATAACTTTGTTAAATTTACATAAATATACATTTATTGGATGACTTGGGTTAGCAATGTAAGACACAGATCCTCATTTTCACATAAGCAATGTATAAGAAGTTCATGGGAATCCAAGTCCATTATCGCTGCTCCAATACCTGCTGCCTCAGAAGCTGAAAAACAGTGACTGCTATGGCTCACAGTTTCTCAGGGAACATTTTAAAGGTGAAATTGAGGTTTTCTGGAATTTTTCCCCTTCACCATAAATTAGGAAGGAGGTAATTTTATCCTTCCAAAGTATTTCCTGTAAGAGATTAAATGCATACCCACCCAGCAGGTTATAAGGATGGTTTTCTTGAACATTCTTTTCCTCATTACATAAGCACAAGGCTTTAGTGTTAATGGCAAGTGTTTGCCCAGATTTTTGATATCCCTTTATTTGGTTGCTATGGAAACACACAGAGCCATGACATTTAGGTTTCCC